GTTCCAACGGTTTCAAGCCCTGTTCTGGTTGGTTTGCGACGCCGAAACCCGTCGACCCGACCGATGAATGAGAAAACGATCGGACACGAATTTCGGCCACCGACGTTGGTTACTAATTAGTATACGAATCGATCAACGATTGTCATTGCACTACAAGCTTAAGTATTAAATATAATATAACGTTTGCTATGTTAGTCCCTTTCTGTTTTCACTTTAAGAATTTTTCTATACCATCGATCAACAATTTTTTAGTACAGCTCTGAAGTGACATTTCTTCAGATCCATTTTTCTGGAATTATGCTTTATCTATAATTATCTATACATTGTACAAAGATACTTTAGTGTTGTGATCGATAGATAACTATCTTGTGAGATATTCTGCATTAATGTCAAGTTTTTGAAATTTTACAAATAACAAAGTAACGAAGAAATGATGAAAATGAAAAAGTAATATGGCCATACACGACTTGTATGAATTGCACGTTTCAACATTTTTAAAGGGCAAAATTAATCATTCCAATTAATAAGTTGTGTTATATTAATTTTATCGTGTTATATAATATATTAATTACGAGGTGCCTATAATATTATTATTTAGGGGCTTCGAATTATGACTACGAAACTGTTAATAATTATGATTTTTCTGATTAGAAGTAATAAAATTTTAAATAATGAAAACTATGTTTTCACGTATGCACGTTCTACAGTTACGTGTTACGTACGCGTAAAACTGTTATTACATTCATATTCATAAAATTGAGTATCATAAAGCAGAATTTACGGATGTAACATGCACATGAAGATATGTCTCCTTTATTAAAACGAAACGAAGCGTAAAATAAGAAAGTCCACATCTCATTTTCATTCATAATGTTATGCATCTCCGAGACGCAGAATTCATAGTTTACACGGTTCGTATTTCAATACGAAGTATATAAAATTACATAGCCGCAAAATTAATTTACTTATTAAACAACGTAATCATCTAAAAGTTCTATTTTATTTTTTATTTTACTAGAAACGAAAGAATATCTTATTAAAAATAAAACGTTTTAAAAAATTTTATAGAAAATGAAGGGGTACAAGATATGGATACGCGTTTTGTTCATTTAATGAAATTTTTATAATTTCCACATCTTTAGGCCTTCAAAACTCATCAAAAAATGAAATTCTTTGTATCTCTATGGTACCTTTAAAAAATTCCTAGTAAGTTTCTTTAAATAGCGACAAAGTAAACTATTAAACTATAGACGATACTGACGGTAAGCTTTAAACGAGAAAAGTATCGTTTTAAGATCGTCAAAATCGATTTTTTTCGCGACTCTTCGTAGAACGAGGCATCGCGTGCCTTAAAAGTAGATCTTCGTATCTTTTTGATGTCGGCTTGTACAATATAACGTTTTCTGACTTTTCTATTCTCCTGTGAGACAGATTTACAATTAATTTAATCAATCATTAATCTTTATTTTCTTATGTTAGGTTACCAGAGTTGGGTATTATTTGAATAAAATATTAAAAAGATGATTAGTTAAATATTAATTTATCTTTGATTTATTCCATTAGATCTTTGGTCATTCTTTCATTTGCTTTTTGAAGTTATTTTGTAATGATGCGTTAGTTTATTTGTACAATTATTTCGTTATTTGATTATTAAACGAAATGCATTTTTTGTTTTATTTTTTATCTGAAAATAATTTCTCATACGATTTTCGATACTATTATACAGGAGTTTCTTCACAGTCTTTTGAATTGAAATGAACAAAACACATATCCATATCTTGTACCCCTTCATTTTCTATAAAATTTTTTAAAACGTTTTATTTTTAATAAGATATTCTTTGATTTCCAATAAAATAGAAAATAAAATACAACTTTCAGATGATTACGTTGTTCAATAAATGGTGCTACGTTTTAAAATGATTTGGTTCTATTATTTATAACTCAAAAATATCCAGAATATAGTGTGTAAAATTTCATATTGTATTATTTGAAAGATAAATGAATCAAGATAAAATATATTATACTTCAAAGTGATTTTATTCAATTTCCACATAAAACAAAGTTATTTCTACTAAATAATTTCTTATAATAATACAAAAATCATAAATTATATAAAAAAATATATAAAATAACAAATTAGATGACTGAAATAACTCATTATTTGAAATTGTTATTCTCTATTTTTATTCTAAATAAAATTTGTCCAAATCTGATACAGACATTATACTATATTGCTATAATAAACTTTATCAACTTATATGTAACTTATTCAACCATGTATCTCATATACAGTACCGTTCATAATTATTTCAAACAATACTTTATTTTATACCACATTTTATACTTTCCTTCATTTCTATAGTAAAAACTAAGTAAAGATTCCTTGCAATTGTTAACATATACTATGAATGTTATTTTAACGTAGAAATTGTATGGGTCTTAAATTCATATCGAAATTCATATTCGAATATCAATCAGAAAAGGTGTCTACAGCTCTATAATTTATGTAATTTCAAGTTATATAGTTGGATTATTGTACATATAAAATTTATTAAGTAAGAGAAAGTTAATAAAATTCAGTATAAGATTCAGTGTATGAAAATCATAGGAGAAAACGTGATAAGTACATGTTTGTCGACTGTTTTTAATTTGAATGTCATATTAAGACTAAAGGGAAATGTTTTAAAATAAAACAGCTAAACGTGCGACGAATCTGTTATACAGATTCAAAGATATAATTGATGAGAGTTCTTTAGAAGCTAAATTATTAAGGTATTTGTAATTTAAATATGATGAGCAATATTTTTTAAAATCATAAAAAGGGTAGAGAAATGGATGTACTTTTAAAATTAAGTAAAACAACAATCTTGGCAACGTGAGACCAATTGACAACGTATTGAGCTCTACAACTTTAGAACTGCCTGTACCAAATGGAAAATGTGACTTACCGTATTTTTTTTTTCTATATTCTTCACATAAAATTCGCATATTTTAAAAACGGATTCTACCAAATTTCATAATACAGTTCTACTTTGCTGCAAGAAAAGAAGAATAAATTTTTATCTCCTTTGTAAATATAAAAAGAACAAAGTTCTTTAAGAGCCGTTATAATTATCAATTGAAACATAGCTGATATTAAAGACTAGAACCAAAACTCAATTCACCATTTCGTTTTACCGATCCTTTTGCCAGCAGGTTCTTAAAAAATGTCCATCAACTATCCAGGTCGTTCTAATATAATAATTACGACTGGTAGTATACTTCAATAGAAAATAGAAGAAAAGAAAGTATAAAGTAAGATGATGTATCGTATGTTAACCTTTACACAGGCTTCTCTATCGACGTGAGAAATTTTTATCGATCCTTACGAAACCTGCTTCTCGTTCATAGAGCAGTATTCAACGACATCACGGTAATAATTTGCTGATGAAGTCACCGTTAACTTCTTAGTAGCTTCGCGCAATAGGCACGCGCCAACAGAATCTCCCTCGGGCATTGAATTATACTTATCGCTTCGCTAATGATTAATCGTAATTGATACCTTCGCGTTATAATATACATCTACGGCGATTGCTAATGCAACTGGCGGAGTTGAAATGTTATCACTGAAGATGCGATATGTTACATGAAAGATGGTCGCGTGTAAACCAGTGAAATGGGAACATAATTATCCATTTCCGCTTACTTATTAGCTTGAAAAATTCCAATTTCTTGGCGCAGTAAGGTGGAAATTAATAACATGTACTGTTAATCACCAATTTGATAAGCTGTGCTAATTTACGACTAAGAAGAATTTATTAATTAGATAATGTTTTACCTATTTGTAAATGTATGTAATGTAAGCATTACATTAGTATAGGTACTTGAAAATGTACACAGGATTATAAAAGTATCTGATCACTTGTAGATACCTTTCATGAAAAGATGTACATGGTATGTGTGTTGTAGGAAACATTTTGAAAATTTGTTAATACTGTTATGAGACTGGACTCTCGTGGTCGTGTTGGTGTAGTTTGCAAGAGATCTGGAAATATATACAGAGCCCAGCCGAATAATATACATATACGAGCGAATACAAGACAATTTTTGAGACTCGAGTTTCTCGAAAACTGAGCCTCGGATGAAAAAATTTTATTCTACATTTTCTTTTAACTTTTGCATAAAACCGGACTCTGCATAGAGATTGCGAGTAATATAATACAAGTATAAATGTTCTATAACGAATCGGAATCATCTCCACGAATAGAGATGTGATGTCAATTAATTTTTTAATATTAACGATATTTTTTTAAAGTATGTATATATTATGTTTGAAATAAACCCAAATTATTATAGTATAAATAAAGTAGGAACTGGCTGAAAGAGATGGAATAAAATACTGTTTTGTAAGAACCAGAATTTATAGCTCGATAAAATTCTTCTGCTGGAGACAATAATAGCTTATTATTAGTAAGTAATAAATAATAATACATTTTCGATAACAATTTTAAGTAATTTTTTAATATTCGTAATACTTTAAAAAAAAACATTTAATTCATATAAAGCATCGAATGCTTTATCTAAGGTGAAGCTATTTTGATAGACAAAATTTTAGTTTAATGAAAAAGCATTTTAAATATACACAACTTTTATCTGGATGAAATTTAATTTTGCATTGTCCTGGCAATAATGTGAGATTTGGCTTAAATGATATATATTCAATGAATATTATCTTATAATACAAAATATTATTATAATTATATCATCTATAGTTCAGCACAATTGTTGAAAGTTTTCAATAAAAATATGTATGTCCTCTCCAACATTTATTCGATAATTACTTCAATACTTATTTACTATATAAATAATTTCATGGATTATTAAATAATTAAGAATTTAACCGAAGGAAAAGAGAACAAAAGTAAGGTAGAAAAATAGTAATTAACAATAATACGGTAATGTTGAGCAGAGAAAAAGAAATAGGAAAGGAGGGTACCGGTGAAAGTACAGACAATACGTACCGGAACAGTGAGCAAGGTCACTTCCGGTGTCCTCTGTGAGTCTCTGACGATAGCAGTCAAGGCCGTAATTGCAGCCATATTCGAAAGGGCAAGGGCAACGAGGCTCGCTGCAAGGTGAGCCGTGGAAAAGCTGGAATTTGTCTTGCTCGACGATGTTGCAAGCGTCGCGACAACACCCAACGCTCCTGCGACAAGGGCACCCACACCTGCCCACAATCCTGCACCGGAACCGCCCAACGCAGCGCCATGGACCAGCACCAGGATACCGAATACTACGAGGACTACACCTGAGAAACATTAAAGTCGATTTATATTATAATGTGTTTTACGATGATAACAATTAAGTTTTAATATACAAATATTATAATATATAAGTATAATATACAAATGTAAATCATATACAGGGTCATACAGGG